CTTTGCACTTTACAGTATTACGTTTTTACTCCTAATTTGATTCTCGAATCTTACTGCAACTACAAGACAGCGTCGACGAGTACTCGATATTTATCATGTTAAACAGCGTCAGTGAACTCAATGCCAATTCTTACAACCGGACCATATTTGAATATATAGTCCCAAATTTAAATATGGCATTTGTTCGCCCAATCATTCGCATTTTGGTGTCATTTTTACATTTTTGATTGCGGTTTCGCTTTTAAAGCTTTGTTTTGATTGATATAGACTCAGTACTCGCTAGTACTCGCTACGCGCGAGTGGAGGTACCCTTACTCGCGACAGGTACTGTAATAAAGGCTAAAGGTTATAACGCGTGTACCTAAAAGGTAAATAAAATCTCGGCCTGTTAGGCAGACACGCGTTATAACCTGGAGCCTTCATTTTAAAACTTTATTATAATTGACAATCTAGCCTTTATTATAAAACTTTATTATAATCGACGATCTGCTGTAGCCCTTATTATATAATTGAAGCTGACACCACAGCCTTTAAGCTTTCTCTTAGCTGTTATATTATAGCCCGAGTTAGCATTTTATTAGTGAAGACATTCTATACCGTGAATATTTTACTGCTTTTGGTCGGAAAACCTCGGAATCAGAATGCATATTAAAACCGCGGTTAGCTTTTTGCCGATGCGTGGGCTAAACCGCAAAAAAACCGCCCGATAACCGCCCGATAACCGCACGTTAACCGCACGTTGACCGCACGTTAACCGCCCGATAACCGCACGTTAACCGCAGGCTAACCGCAAAACGACCGCAACCGCAGTGTTAGGTTAATTCTGAGCGGTACTGTAGTTTTATCCATCGGTGCCAAAACAGCACATACAGTTTGCTGCGTTTAAAATGACAATTTTAGCATCATTCAATAAGCTTTTATTATAATAAAATGAATAATCTACCTTTCTTTTGTACGTCCTGAAAATTTCAATGACATCCACCATAAAATAACGACGATATACCCATTTAAAGTTATGAAATACAAGTTTCGCCATATTAGTTTATAATGTTTTGGACCAGAGTTGGTTGCTTTCAACATGAAGTAACATGTGCCGGCACAAAAACTTCAAAGGTTCCGACTCGAGTGAAGCTTCTGCCCTTCTCTATTTTGTGCTAGTACGTGCTGTTACAGTAGCTAAGAATACGTCGTGTCGTGCAGTTTGGACATTTGGTTTGAAATCAAGTGATTTATACAAAATAGAAAATAGGCAATTTCAGCTTTTAATTTACGAAGTGGCTATTCGTACTGGAACAGTACGCGGAGTTTGATTTGCTATTCGTACTGCAGTCGGAATATTTCTTGTCGGGAAAATATTTGTTTCTATCGATTTTTATAACCCTACCGTTATAAAGGGACAGTGAGCGATTGCGATGGACGTTATTTTCGTTCCTGAAATCGATCTTTGAATCCTCGGCTTACTGTGTGGACATGACACTTTTAACACCTTGTCCACCATACTTACCCCTTTGGTTGGTTAGGTGTTAGCTCAGCTGACCGAGGGGGGTGACCTGGACGGACTCCTGTTACTTGGACTCAGATTAAGATCCGTGACAATGGCATCTTGAGCTGCCACCCAAGGGTGATGAGTAGGGACCACCCCATCTTGCACGCTGGGAAACAAACGACAGTATAATAATGCACATTAATTCAGCATAATAAGGCGCATTAATTCCAGACGTCATTCCAGCCGATATGGTAAGACACGCATAATAAGGCACATTAACTCCAGACGTTGTTGCCAGCCGATATGGTAAGACAAGCATAATAAGGCACATTAATTCCAGACGTCATTACCAGCCGATATGGTAAGACAAGCATAATAAGGCACATTAAAATCCGGAGGTCATTACCAGCCAATATGGTAAGACAAGCATCATAAGTCACATTAATTCCAGACGTCATTACCAGCCGTTATGGTAAGACAAGCATAATAAGGCACATTAAGTTCCGGAGGTCATTACCAGCCGATATGGTAAGACAAGCATAATAAGTCACATTAATTCCAGACGTCATTACCAGCCGATATGGTAAGACAAGCATAAGGCACATTAAATTCCGAAGGTCATTACCAGCCGATATGGTAAGACAAGCATAATAAGGCACATTAAATTCCGGAGGTCATTACCAGCCGATATGGTAAGACAAGCATAATAAGTCACATTAATTCCAGACGTCATTACCAGCCGATATGGTAATACAAGCATAATAAGGCACATTAAATTCCGGAGGTCATTACCAGCCGATATGGTAAGACAAGCGTAATAAGTCACATTAATTCCAGACGTCACCAGCCGATATGGTAAGACAAGCAAAATAAGGCACATTAAATTCCGGAGGTCATTACCAGCCGATATGGTAAGACAAGCATAATAAGGCACATTAAATTCCGGAGGTCATTACCAGCCGATATGGTAAGACAAGCATAATAAGTCACATTAATTCCAGACGTCATTACCAGCCGATATGGTAAGACAAGCATAATAAGGCACATTAAATTCCGGAGGTCATTACCAGCCGATATGGTAAGACAAGCATAATAAGTCACATTAATTCCAGACGTCATTACCAGCCGATATGGTAAGACAAGCATAATAAGGCACAATAAATTCCAGACGTCATTACCAGCCGATATGGTAAGACAAGCATAATAAGGCACATTAAATTCCGGAGGTCATTACCAGCCGATATGGTAAGACAAGCATAATAAGGCACATTAAATTCCAGAAGTCATTACCAGCCGATATGGTAAGACAAGCATAATAAGGCACATTAAATTCCGGAGGTCATTACCAGCCGATATGGTAAGACAAGCATAATAAGTCGCATTAATTCCAGACGTCATTACCAGCCGATATGGTAAGACAAGCATAAGGCACATTAAATTCCGGAGGTCATTACCAGCCGATTAATTCCAGACGTCATTACCAAGCGCACGTTGTCGTCGTTTGGACGTCAGACTTGGAATGATAGATGTCACCTACTCCCATTGCGCCATCCCCCCGGTCATGTGACGTGCTGACGTCAGAATACCTGGTTCCCAAGTTGCTAACCTTGGTTATTGCATAACCTCATGTAAAATATTTCACATTTTCTCCATGCGAGCACACGCGCGGGAGAAATAAACGCGCTTTCGCGCCTCGCGTGGAAAGAAGACACGCGAGGAAAGAATGAAGCGTGGCATTGCGTGTGAATGAATCAATGACTCAAATCTAAATTTTCAGCGCGATTTTTCGTAGCATAATTTCTTAATTTATTATTGCAATCTATATATCTTCTCAAACAAAAATTAAAGACCGTGTCAAGTTCGTTCTGCATATCAGTTCTGCTCATAACAAAGGGGGACCCACACTCCACTGATATAAATATTGCCCAAATTTTTGCATCTTTAGAACTTTTTTGTGAATTGAAACGTACTCTAGTTTACATTCGTTTACAATTGCGAACCATAAAAGTGTTAGATATTCCGTTAGTATGTCTTATTTTACAAATATAGCAGTTCAAAATTAAACAAAGGATTTGTTTACATTACGGACTTGACATGGTCTTTAATAATTTAATCTTCATGGATTGATTTGCTGAGGACTCTAATTAGTTTGTGTTTTGTTTGAGAAGATATAACAGAATTCTTTAAATGATCCAACTGACCTATTTATCGATTAAATTTAGAAAACTATACTAATAATATAATTTCAGTTTATTAATATTTTATCATAGAGATATTAATATACTCCTATCCAGGGGTGGCACTAGGGGGGGGGGGACACCCCCTCTAACCAACGATCGGCAAAATGTTGCTTCCAGTAGGCAAAAAGTGGGTTGTGTTAATACGAACCGAAATGTCAAATTGTTGTTTGAAAAGAACCAAAACGTGAATTTATATATAAAACTTAAGTGCCGTTGAGAAATCAGGCAAATATGTCTTTAAAATGTGCTCTTAGTTGGGAACAAAACTTATAGTCGACACTTGACGGAAATGACTGTAAAAATGCAGACTATTGTCTAATACCCAACACCGAACTAAACTCGGCAAAATTCTACCTTAGCCTCCCCCCCCCCCAAAAAAAAAAAATTTGTCTCCAACAATGGCATTTTTCCAAAAGCATTTTGACTCGTGCTTGTCATATTCCTAATATTTATAAACGACGAATAAATGTAAAGAAGACGTTAATAAGCAATGCATTTGGAGGGTAAATAAAAACAACTTCTTTGCTTCTACTCAATAGTAAACTCCCATTCAAAAACTGAACACATACTTCGCGATCATGCAAGTACGCATACTATATAGAGGGTCCTGAAGGGGGGGGGGGAATCCCATTTCCCACCTGAAATTTTGGCAAAATCCCAGTCCCAGTTGGATTTTTATTAGAAATCCCAGTCCGAGTTATTGAAATCCCAGTCAATAAAAAACCCTTTATTTATCGGTACAATAAACAGTTTTAAGACTTTTAAGCCACCGTGTGTGCAAGTGGCGAACACATTATGAAATATTGGGGGAGGTTTGTGCCGAAGGCACGGAAAATTTTTAAATTTGAATCCCGGAAATGGCATTTGCAGCATTCTGAGACACGCATAATCAGAAAACCCAGAATTTCGGGCGCCAGAGTATGCCTGTTCTCAGGTAGTGCTGTGAATAATATAGTTAACAACAAAAATCATGACCAAAGACACCAAAAACGGATCAAAATTGTATTTTAAAATACTTAAAACGTAGAAAAATTGGGAATCGACTCGCATTACCTCAATCACATTCCCATTTTTGAGGACTTCATTTCCCATTCCCAGTGGCCAAATCCCAGTCCCAGCAACCCAGATCCCATTTTCCCAGTCTAAAAATAGATCAATCCCAGTTCCCATTTTACCCCTTCAGGACCCTCTATATATGTCATTTTTATGTATTTCATACAGACAGACAAAATGTTTATACAGATAGACAAATGTATAGGCTTAATTCTTAAAAATCAAGTGTTTTCATAGTCTCTACAACAGCTCCTACAAATCCAGGACTTTGTTTTTGGTGGTACAGATTTCCCAGTGCACGTCAAATGGAACCATTCAAGGCAAACGTCACAGCCTATTTGCTCTTCTTTCTCGTTCAATTCCCGCAAGCAGGTTTTGCAGTGCCAGCCCACTTCATTTGCTATCTTCTCTAATAGATGACTCATAGTATTCCAACCGTCAGTTGAGAAGTACTTTTTGACTCGGTAAACGTTAACTATCTCATCAACGATTTTCTTTGGGATTTTTTCCAATCGGAATATGTCACATGCTTCAATAAGATAATCATCAGACAATGCTTTACTAATGAACTTTTGTGATGTCACCATTCCTAAAATAACTGAAAGACAAAATAGAGGTACTTAATAATAATACTAACAATACTTAGTAATACTTTTTTCAAGACCTCGGGCATTTTTTTGCAGCCGACGTATTTATTATTCACAGTAGTTTACAGGAAAATTAGCCAATCAAAACTGAGAATAAAATTATGTGAATAATAGTCTGGCTTAGTTTGCTCATCTTATAAGACTTTCAAAAACTCAATAATTCAGGAGGAAAACACAAAGAAAAATCATAAGCGTGTCGTGGTTTTGTATGTGATAAAAAATCATGTTAATTTACATAAACTTTAGCTTTGATTTTCTCGGTTTAGACAAAGTTTATTTTAAAAATTACTTCGCCAATGAACTCGAATAAGATGAGTCGTTTTTGAAGCCATTTAAAGCACTTGTAGTCGTGTTGTATCACATATAAAACACTCCGCTACGCGTCGTGTTTTATATGTGATAAAACACTCCTACGTGTGCTTTAAATAGTACATATGATACTCACATTCTGCCTTATCTGTTGGAGATTTGTTGATCAACAAAGTTGGTCTTTTACTATTGAGCTTTCGTCTTTTTGGAAGCCCAATTGCTGTCATATCTGCCCCTTTGGGCCTTCCCCGAACTTTCATCTTTGGTGGCAGTTTGACTTCCTTAACAACGTCGACTGAAAGTAGTGAAAGATAAACGTTGAAAACGGTAATACGGTATATGATTAGCGTTATTGCATTTATTAATCAAATAGGGTAACATTTTATACTGGTATGCATAATATAAATCAAGGAAGGCATTGGTAGTAATATAACCCCCCTAACCCCCCCCCTGATATTAGTTATTACTATTATTACCTTCTGCTTTATCTCGAGGTATACGTTGACTAGATTCGCTCCCAATTTCCTTATCTTGGGGCATATGTTGGTCAGATTCAGTCTCAATTTGCGTACATTCAGGGGGCTTGCTTTCAATTAGGGTCTCTTTAAACTCATGAATCGAAGGTTCGTTCTTTTCTTGACTTATTTCTATTTTAACCTCCTCACTTTCTTGCCATGAACCCAATAACTTTTTAAGGCATGCAAGACGCTCATCGAATTGTTTTCCTGAAGCCTCGCTTGCAACAGTTGCGATTTTTTGAGCAATGGAAAAGGCTTTTCTATACTTCTCGTGTTGCGATAAAATCTTTTTCCCCGCGGGCCTCGATTCTTGAATGGTTACAGAAATAAAGTCATCAGAATGATGTGTGTTGTTATGTTCATTGATTGCTTCCACACCGAGGCGAAACACCCGATGAGAATTATAAAAGTACGACTTTGTCCATCTTTTGTCGCAGAGATCAGGGCTAAATAACTGTAGTCCCAGACTACCTCTAAGGGCTAGCATGTGACGGCAAGGCAACTTCATTGATGTTGCAAAGCTACATTGACACGATGTTGGTGTCACGGAATGATCACCTGTACTGGTGGTGACAGTGTGGACACCACATGGCTGCTCGGTAAATTTTCCCACCTTTGGAACAAGGCTGAGTTGTTTTCTCACTTGAGAGAAAGCATACGGGGTGCATTGTTCATAGAACAAACGTTCATTAGATTCAAATTCATTCAAATCAACCGGTCGTTTTTGAAATATCATAGCAGCTCGGTGGTCTCTTTCCTGACGTAATGACGCAATACAGTTTTCAGGCTTTCTTGCCATCCTACTTTTCCTACTTTTTCCTACTTTTCTTCAACTTTCCTACTTTTCCTATTTTTTATTAAAAATTGCTTGATTTACCTACTTTTTCCTACTTTTTCTCAGAAAATCCTACTTTTTTAAGACAGCTTGGGGAATCTGTATGTTATAGCTCTCGTAATTAGATCAATAGGACTCGTAATTTTTATTCCCTATTTGTGTCCCAGATGATAAGATCTCAGGAGGAGAAATACATTTTCCTAGTACTGTATATAATTTCATAGCATCTAGAATCACAATCAATAAATTAATGAAGACTCTGAAAGTGCCATTTCCGACTATCTAGAGATTCCAAATATTTAACTCCCCCCTCCTCAGTTAATCAAGCATCATATATACAGGGCCGTAGCAACCGGGGGGGGGGGCTGCAGCTCCCCCAATAATTGGCTAATAATCATTTTTTTCAAAATCATGCAGACCTTTATCATATAATCCATGACATGCAAACTGCAAAGAATGAAGATATTACCCATACTTTCCTGCAACTTATCCAATATATAGTTAAATACGCCTTCGCCCATTTAGTACTACTAAATTGTAAATTTCAACATTATACTAAAACGCTGTTTTCTGACCATTAGAATTCTGTCAAATCTTCCCCAAAGTCCAGGAAATAGCATTTCAGAGACTCTAAATTTAAAAATTTCCTCGGGCCTTCGGCCCTCGCTTTCAGCCCCCTCCCAATTGAAAAGAGCTTCCTATGGCCCTGATATTTACTCCTGCCGTAGTGTGGATTGGTGCATTGTGTAGCCCAATACATGCATTTGAATTGTGTTGCTGCAGAGCAGATGCCTTAGCTTTTATACCGATGCAATTTAAACGTTTTGAGAAAAAATCCTGCATAGATGAATGAGTAGATAAAAATATTGAGCACCAAAAATTCACACAACTTCCCCATCAGATATCTAATGGTCCACCCCTTACCACATATATCTTTGGGGGCCAATTTTGTATATTTTTGTGTTATTTGCATCACCAAAACTCCTACTTCTGTCCTACTTTTCTACACATTTTCCTACTTTATTCCTACTTTTCCTAAAATTCTAGTCCTACTTTTGTCCTACTTTTCTGAGTGTTGCAAATTACGGTGGAAGTCCAAAAGACACGAATGTTTTGTAATTACCGACTTTAGTTTTTGGTTGATACTCTCCAGGCGGTTATTTGTCGAGTTTAAAAAATTGCTAAATTTTTTCTTGTTCCCTTCTACCCATTCATCTCGTATCGAGTGCCAGTTCTCGATAAAATATACCTTAACAGCACTAAACCTAGTGTCCATGAGCTGGACGTACAGATCTTGGTAGACTTCTTCGGTTGGTGCATATGCCATAGATTGGATAATTTCAAGCACTTGGAGCCGTTCGTCCACATAAATTCCCATTTTCTCGGTGGTAATTTCCCTTTTGAATGAGTACTCGCATTGTGTGGAACAAACAGATAAGCAATCCGGCTTGTGGAATCTCTTCTTTTATGACTTTCCGTTCTGTCATGTCCTTGTCAGCCATGACACAGTTAATCTTCTCCCATGCTGCGTTATGTTTTTTAAACAGTCTAATCATTCTCCGAATCGTATCGGCTTGCTCATCTGCCAATAGCATAAGCCCAACGATTTCACTTTCACCGTTTCCATCGACAGCAAGCATCACATATAATGGTAATCGTAGATTGTTCAATTTATATGTGGCGTCGATCAGTAAAATTTCGGGAAAGGCATCAAATATCCATCTCATTTCTTCATCCTGATAGAAGAGACCTTTAAAGTTTTTTTCTTCATCAACGTACAATTCCACTTTTCCACCTATACAAGCAAATTACAGAACATTTAATACTGTATAATTAATATAGAGTCAAATTATCACTGTTACGTATACAAAAACCTTTGTAACTTCACTACTGTAACTGGCTCGGCTAATAGCACCAAGAAAACGATTCGACCCCACAGAGGAAATTTATGCTGTCCAGGTGTAGAATCTTTTCCTGATAACAGTGAAATGTACTAGGATGGGGATGTTTTCTGGAATTACCTAATACAGTTTGTAACAAAACCACCGTACGCTTACCAGGTTGACTTTTCATATCTTCTATTAATTCAGTTAGATTACCATCCTTTCTTTCCACCATGTTGTGTATATCCTTGAGTGTCATGGACTTCCCAGTTGAGTGTAGGATATGTTGCTGGATCAACTTCTTGTTAGCCTTCATTTCCAACATTCTTTTAACATTTTCTTTGGTTTCCCCTTCCACTCGTCTTTGCGTTGGAAGATGTTCAAAGGACTTCTAAAGAACATAATGAAATATTGCTTCACAAATTGATAAAATTGTTTGATTTTTTATTTAAAAATATGTTGTCCAAACCATTTCCTAAACTAAAAATAGGGTTTAACTTGAATGGACGACAGCGACTTGTACTTACATCTAATACTATACATACCCAGGGCCGCCGAGGGAGGGCAGGGGG